TTTTTTATTATTATCTCTGTGTGCCCCCCCCCCCCCATGAGAGGTTTTCCACTCGATGCGCGCAAAAAAAATAAACACACTATTTTGTCCGTAGTTGTACATGTCGCCTCATATACTGCATTAGATAGTATTGTGTTGTCGTTACTTTTTCTTTCATTGACAGGTTTGTTCAACCAAGCCATCACACAATCCGGGTCCGCGCACGTTAATTGGGCCGTCAAACTGCCGCCATATGATCCAATGGACTCGACCATTGAACTGGCCACTAAAATGGACTGTCCAACAGGTACATCAACTGAAATCATAGATTGCCTGCGAACAAAGAATGCGTTCGATATCGTTGCGAACGCTTTCACAATTGTGAGTATACAATATTGTATTTACAAGTGGACAAACTGGGCGACGATCCCTGCATACAAAATGTTTAATAAAATACTTTTTTTTTTCATTCATTTTATTTTTTTTTATTTTTTTGAGATACAAAATCATCAGGGTAATTCCGATATTCGATTATATTGAATCAGTGTCTTTATTATTTATACTGAACTTAAACGTGTGAATCTCTTGATCCGTTGTTGGTATTGTCATGATATGTAATCAACAAAGCATGTTAATTATCAACATATGGAAATTGACCCTGTACACACAGGAAGTCCTCATTATGCAAATTATGTAACCTTGTTTACTTATACTTGTTTGGAGTTGAATAAATCAGTTCTTAGTAGTTGTAGCTAGGGACAGTGTCTTTGTCAATTACTAAACATAACAGGTATGATGTGACTAGAATAAATACAAAAGATCAAAGGTAGAAAATCATTACTACAAAGAAAGAAAAAGCGCCCCCGAAAAGGAGAACGCAATCTGAAAGAAAATACCATAAACCGCGATAAATCATAATCGATTGATTTTCATCAATTTTCAGTAATAAACTTGCTGATTAATCATTACTCGTCACTATACCGTCTGAAACGTAACACTATTGTTCATTGCCAGATGGACTATGATCAACTAGGCTTCATGGTGGTTGTCGATGGACCTGGCAACTTTCTGCCAGACGATCCTTTCTCACTGATGGAACGAGGAGAGTATCAGAAAATGCCGTACATGTCCGGTTACACTAAGAGTGAATTAGCGGTCTCTGCTATGGGTACGTAAACTTGTTTTCAAACACAGGAAGTAAACGGGCATTCGATAGTTCGATAACATACATCGCGATGCTTGGTATTTCTACTTTTCCCGCCGTACAACTTATCCCTAACACTTTACTATATGTTTTATTTTCGCTGTCACCAAATTTTAATTTATTCGATTCATTCGCATTCCTGATTTCCCTAGATATCAATCCCTACAATGTCACACGTTTCATAGAAATTGTTGTACAAGGTTAGAC